CTCTGAGCTTCTTGATATGTTAGGGCATTGTTACCCAACTCAGTTGGAGCATTTGACATTGCACCCCAGGAACTACCATTAGGCAAAATTTTAACAATATTCCCATGCACAATTGATGGATGAACTGACTCCCACATGAAGTGGTATACCGTCCTTCATCTGAAGATCACAGGGCGGTTTACAACATAAAAATACAAACATTGCTGGAGCCATATCGGAAAGGGCAGTTGCCCTCACACTTGGAATGGGAGAAAAATCCAATTCAGTCCACATTTAAAGACAAACCTACCTGATTTGCACTTTCTGAAACAGTATGTGAATTGAAACCATTCTTTGAAATCCACACTTCGCTTAACTTTGCAATGCAGTTCTCTGGCCAAGCAGTGTGTACAAAAATGCATATACAGTGGTACCTCAGGTTAAGTATTTAATTCGTTCCAGAGGTCCATACTTAACCTGAAACTGTTCTTAACCTGAAGCACCACTTTAGCTAATGGGGCCTCCTGCTGCTGCCGTGCCGCCGGAGCACGATTTCTGTTCTCATCCTGAAGCAAAGTTCTTAACCTGAAGCACTATTTCTGGGTTAGCAGAGTCTGTAACCTGAAGCGTATGTAACCTGAAGTGTATGAAACCCAAGGTACCACTGTACTGGGGTGAATTGTGCATAAAAATGCATTTATCAGTGAAAATAACATACACAAATGCATCATATTAGGTAAATTTCTTTGTACAAATGTGTATATTGGGAGGAATATGCTTTAAAATGCTGGTGTCAGTAGAGCATGAGATTCTTATTCTCAGGGTCCCAGGTTCAAGCCCCACGTTGGGCAAAAAAAATATCCTGCATTGCAGAGGGTTGGACTAGAGGACCTTCATGCCCCCTTCCAACTCTACAATTCTATGATCTATTAGGACCATTTTTCAACATTCACAAACTGATGTGGAACTGTGAAGAACTGAATGTAAGGTTGGGGAAATGAGCAACTGAAAGAAACCAAAACTGATGCATTTTCCCAATCCTACTTCAGAGTCTGCTCCTTCTGAGCCTGCTTGAGGCCTCTGTCAGTCTGCTGTTGGGAGAATAGGATGACATTTGTTTGATCACAACAATACAGTGGTACCTTGGTTCTCAAACTTAATCCATTCCAGAAGTCCATTCCAAAATGAAAGCGTTCCAAAACCAAGACACTCTTTCCCATAGAAAGTAATGCAAAACGGATTAATCCATTCCAGACTTTTAAATACAACCCCTAAAACAGCAATTTATCATGAATTTTGCGATCTAATGAGATTATTGCTCCATAAAATGAAAGCATGTACTGCAGTCACACAATCAATCAATCAGTAGCTGAACTAGGTTCCACACAGTCACAAAAACAAAACAAAAAAGAGCAGCAAAAACAAAAACGCAAAATAAATAGCAAAAACAGACCTCAGCGTAACACTCAAAATGGAAGTGTGGTACTCAAATCAGAAGTATAACACTAAAAACGGAGCACGTTCAGCTTCCAAAGAAAGTTCGCAAACCAGAACACTTACTTCTGGGTTTGCAATGTTTGGGTTCCAAGTTGTTTGAGTACCAAGGCGTTTGAGAACCAAGGTACCACTGTACTTTTCTCTTGTACAACTCCTCTTGTCAGGGCTCCTTCTGGCTTTACTTGCTATGTCTTCTTATAGCAGAGGAAATGGAAGAAATAAGAAGACCCGGAAGAATGGCTGAATTGGGTTCACTGGGCCTGATGTGGTACTAGGTTTCCATGCAATGAATTTGAAGTTACACTGTTAATGCCTCTAAAAAGAATTTGGTTTTCCCCACATCCCTCACCGCTTTCATGGAAAAGTTGGTCACTGCACGTCCTATGCTAACACTCAGTTTTTTCCATTTCTGGGGTGGATTTCCAGAAACATAACAGGAGGTCAATATGCTATGAGCAGCTCTGAGCCTGTGAAATGTGCAGTTTGGAAGTGCATTCCCTTCAAAGCATTTCAAAGCCTCATTGCAGAGATTCCTTTGCAGCGAGGGTTGCAACTCACAGCAAAGTATTTTACCATGTGGTATCCTCCGCAAAAGGGGACGCGGATGGTGCTGTGGGTTAAACCACAGAGCCTAGGATTTGCCGATCAGAAGGTTGGCGGTTCGAATCCCCGTGACGGGCTGAGCTCCCGTTGCTCGGTCCCTGCTCCTGCCAACCTAGCAGTTCGAAAGAACATCAAAGTGCAAGTAGATAAATAGGTACCGCTCCAGCGGGAAGGTAAACGGCATTTCCGTGAGCTGCTATGGTTCACCAAAAGTGGCTTAGTCATGCTGGCCACATGACCCGGAAGCTATACGCCAGCTCCCTCGGCCAATAAAGCAAGATGAGCACTGCAACCCCAGAGTCGGTCATGACTGGACCTAATGGTCAGGGGTCCCTTTACCCTTTACTTTATCCTCCGCAAATGGTGGCTTCCAGTACTGTTTAGGAGTGGGGTAGACATTTCTCTGATTTGCATGCACCTGTTGGTTCCACTCTCTCAGCAGGAAGGTACCTTCATTGAGTGCCCCCTCCAAGGGAAGTATGGAGTGGGGCCTGTACATCAATTATTTTTCCATGTTGTGCAACAAAATTCTGGTGCACTGGGAATGACATTGATTGAACGTAATTGATATAGCACTGCTATAACTATTAGCCTGACCCCTAGAGACTCTTAACGTATTAATAACTTGATTTCAAGTTGCATGCCAAATTCAGATCAAATGCTGACACTCCACCCTCCCGCCAATGCTCTGGCAGCTGCCTGGGTTAATGTATTCAGCAGCTCAAGAATGAAAGATTGTCACCGTTCTAGGCGGAGCAGAGTTTTGCTTTATTGGATCTTAAAGGAGTAAATTTCCACAGTGTTTCCTTTTGGATAAAGTTTGTTGTCTCATCCTCCTCTATCACCTGCCCAGCTATAAGGATTATTGTTTCCGCACCCTGCACTGCTGATATATGAAAATATAGCTGGGAAGGATCGGTGTGGTTTTCTTTCCAACAGCTCTTAATTGCACTTGTGTGGCAAATGCAAGCCAGTATAGATTTAACATAAACCATTCAGCACAGCCACAAGTATTAATGCTCCTCTGCCTGCGCCCATTAATCAAGGCTGCTTTCCTCTCTCTTCCTTCCCTTTCTTTCATACTCGGAGGGCACCCCGTGAGCAGCCGCAGCAGCAGCTCATAACCTCATTGCGGAGGAGTTGAGGCCTTTGATGGCTTTGCGCAGCCTGTTTCATTTCATAGACTTTGGGGGTCACTTTTTTTGCAGTCTCTGTTAAACTGCATTGCAAAAGCAATTTAAAATCACTTAAGCAAATCATGAAAGATGCAATATGGGGGGAAAGTGGTGAATAATGGTTAGCCTAAAGCATCACAACAAAGAAATTGTGTTTCCCTTCAAGCCTCTTCTTTTTGAGCAGAAGCTTTCATCCTGACTTCTTTTCTCTCTGACCCTCTCTTGATCTTGGTTACTCTTTCTCTCAGTTTGGGGGGAGAGGGGCATACAGACTGAAACAAAAGGCTCTAGCAAATCCATGCAGTTCAATCCTAACCATGCTTACTTAGGAGTAAGTCAGGGTAACAACTGGGTTGATTCCTGCCCCTATTAAATGTACGAAGGATTGCTGCCCAGCAGTGCAATCCTAGGCATGGCTACTTTGAAGTAAATCCCATTATGTTCAGTGGGACTTATTCCCAGGTAAATGTACATATGAATGAATAAAGGAATTCTCCTCTGCTGCCTCATTTCTAGTAGAAGGCTAAAACTGCAACCATGTACACTAGGGGTGGGCAGATGGTAGGCCTGCATCTATTGGTAAATGTCTGGGTGGTTTGCATTAGATGGGCAAGAATGTCTGGTTCCCAATTGTTTAACAATAGTAGCAACAAAATGACACACACACACACCAATTAGTCTGCTGAAATTAAGAAATTGTAGGGAAACCAGGAATACATTTTTACATGGAAGGACCATGAGCTCAACTCAGCTCTGGTACTCAGAACAAATCTTGTGATTTGTTCTATCGTAGGCGCAGGTTGTATATTTGTGTAAATAAACCAGTATATCATACAGACACCACAGTCCCCACTGTGCCTCATTCCTGGATAAGTACCTGGAACCCCTGGAATTTTGCATTCCTCAGAGATTGGGGTGGTGTGCAACACTAATTATACAAGGGATTTTTTCCCTCTCCTAAAATAGCATGTCTGGAATTTATTTATTTATTTATTTATTTATTTATTTATTTATTGTGACAGGAGGTATTTCACACAACAATTTGCTGTCCATTCTCTTCCTAAAATGTCCAATTCTTTTCCTTAGCTGTTATGAGACATAGTAAAAAAAAAAAAAAATGTTTGGAGGGTGGGGGTTCTTCAAATATTCCCTTCCCTTCCCCTGAGCAGCACTTTGCCTTACCGTGACAGCCAGCTAATCGGAATAAGATGTTATGGTACACGATGGGTAGACGAAATTTTCCTGTGGGGAAGATTTAGATTCTGTTTGACATCTTTTTTTATGGTATGGGAATAGAGTCATCACAACCTGAATCCAGAGCTCCACAAAACATCAGTGGGCAGAGTATGAGACCCTTTTGGTCCTTGAGTGCGTGTTTGTGTACATGTATGTGTCCCCCACTGGCAATTGGCCCAAGTGATTTTGTTAAAAGCTATTAATAAACAGCCTTTATCTGAAGGTCCTGTGTGCCACCTGTTCAGCTCAAGAAGGCAAGCCAGCCCTGGTGGAATGAGAACATCAGTGAAAAATTAACTGCCTGAAATTAACTTCAAGCATCCGAGTGATTAAACCATTGTGTTGTGATTGTGTACGATACTCCCTTTCTTCAGCAATTAAGGCTCTATTGATCTGATAATGTAAGGAAAGGAACCAGCAGAGTAACACACATTCAGACTGCTATAATGAAGAGTGATCATCTATTGTTCCGGAGTGTGCAACAGTCAGCCAGAGGGATTGATTGCCGACATGTCCCCTCCACACTATTTCCTCTTGCTGCCTTCACTTCCCCCAGACCACTCCATGTCAAGCCCTCCCTTTGCCCACAAAACCATTTGCGAAGAAGAAGAAGAAGAAGAAGAAGAAGAAGAAGAAGAAGAAGAGGAAAACCCTGAAATGAGAACTGGATTTATGGTGCTTTGGCATAAAGGCATAAATCCAAATCTAGTGGCGGTGGCAACTTCCAACACAGAAGAGACAGTCTCCCAGGAGGAACTTTTTAAACAACAACAACAAGTAGCTTTCAAGAATGACAACACATTAGCATGATGGAAGTTCATACATTAGCATGATGAAACACATACAAAAGCAAGCAAACACACAGAGTACTGCTCCAGGATTGTGGGTGTGTGGGGGTGTGTGTCCCCTCAGTCATGGGAAGCTTTTAATGTTTGATGGATTACTTTATTTTAATATTTTGTTGGAAGCTGCCCAGAGTGGCTAGGGAAGCCCAGCCAGATGGGCGGTGTATAAATAATAAATTATTATTATTACTATTATTATTATTATTATTATTATTATTATTATGGCACACTCTATGAGCCCCTGTAATTTGGAAGAGGACATGCAAACTGTATTAAAGTGTCAGAGTTGCCCAATGGAATTATCACTAAGCCAAGTGGATGCCATTATAAAAAAGGTCATCTATGGAAAACAGATCACCTATGGAAAGCTCTCTATAGATGACTGGATGGAAAAGGGAAGAAGACACACATCCAAAGCACAAGGCAGGCTGTAAGACAATTCTTGCTACTCAGGAAGCATCACAAATTTGCCTGAATAAGCATTAACAGAATTCTACAGTAATAGGCATGAAAGCTAGAGATAATGGCTATGTAGCAGAGTACAGTATATGGCAAAGTGGCATGGATTATTTTCATCACTAAGGTGGAGAATGGTTTCTTTGCTGTTAGAAGAGGTGGGTGGGTAAAATAAAAACAAATTGTGCAGGAAGGTCCATGAGAAAATGAGTTTCTGTCTATATTTGGATACAATTGGGTGCCATTTTGAATCAAGATGGCACACTGGAACATTCAAATTTTCAGATTTTAACCACTTATTTCAAAACATCACTGATTCTTTTATTTTTTATGTTTCCCAAGTTGTTAGTAATAAATATTTAACTTTTAAAAATGTTTTAGATTAGAACGGTCAAAATGCTTTCTATGTTCCCCTGCAGTACCTGAAAAATAAGAATCCTGTAAGATAGCATAGCATTATTATCCAAATAGTGGTCATCTAAGACCCCTTGGAGATGGTAAAATTTGAAGCAGGGACGATTTCACAGCACACGACTCACCCACATAAAGTGCAATCTCACAGAGTGCATTTGAGCTTCTTGCTCCTTCCTATACAGTGGTACCTCAGGTTAAGTACTTAATTCGTTCCGGAGGTCCGTTCTTAACCTGAAACTGTTCTTAACCTGAAGCACCACTTTAGCTAATGGGGCCTCCTGCTGCTGTCGCGCCGCCGGAGCACGATTTCTGTTCTCATCCTGAAGCAAAGTTCTTAACCCGAGGTACTATTTCTGGGTTAGCAGAGTCTGTAACCTGAAGCGTATGTACCACTGTATATGTTGCTTCTCTGCTGTTGTGTATTTGTCCAGTTTTAAGCATTTTTATTGTAAGAGGCCATGTGAGAACTCGTCCCACAGAGGTGTGAAAGAAATATATTAAAATAATAAATACAACCCCAAAACATACTTTTCTGGGAGTAACCCTCACCGAACACTGGTGAGCCTCACTTTTGAGTAGGCGTGCATTGGGTTTAAACCTAGATTAAAACACTGCTTAGCTTGGGGAGACTGATACTGTAACTTTCTCTAAGTCTTCTCATCCTCTGCTCCTTTTTGTGCTCACCTGTATCTGTCTCCCCCACCCAGTTCAAGTATCATAAAGGGTTAAGCACAAAGACTCTGGACCAGGCATATCTGTTATGCCATACCACTGCCCTTTTGCCTTGCTCTTAAGCACATGTGAATGGTAAGCCGCATTCCTCTCTAGTTAACCCCATTAAGCTTTGACCTGTGCCAGTCATAGAAGAACTAACTCCTGTGCACACCTGTCTGACTATAATGGCCCGCCATTATCATTTCCCACCCCTCTCTGTGATTGATGGCTATTATATGCATAATGACCTCCAGGTTTTCTTCCCCCCCCCCTTTTGTTAGGATTTGCTAAAGCAACCTGCAAATTAATTTAATATCCTCTTTTGGTTGGTAGTTATGAAACCGGGGCTCGGAGCTGATGATGCGTAAACCATTTGTGGCATGTATTTAATCTCCGGACAATGGATAGAGATGTTAGTGCATGCTACACTAAGTTCTATTTACGCTGGCTATTAAGTGCAGTCAAGCTGAAGGCAATCGGAGCACATTACAGGGCCTAATGGGAGAGGAAGCTAAACAACAGTACATTAAAGACTGAAAATGAATTAAGAGGGAAACATGGTAGAGAAAGCAGACAAGTAGAGGGTTTTGTCTATAGATAACTCTTATTGACAAGACAAATATTCATAGACTTCAAGTCCCCCAATCTAATTTTGATATTGGATACCACTCTGGGGTGATGGTTGGGATCCTCATTTTCATACAGGTACAAAATGAGTGATATTTCCATAAAGCAAGATCGGTGCAGTCCCTGAAGCATCTTGCTTAGAAGAACTCAACATCAACACAGGACTTAGACAAGCCCTTTACCCCTTCGTTGGGGTACCAACTGTAGGTGGTCTCTGTACTCTTTTGGCTGTTAAGGAATATTTGGTGCAGGAACAATAGAAAGTGTGACCATTATGAAGGCATTCTCTCATCCTGTTACAGCGCTTGGTCACACTTGATTCCAATCATGTTCACTGATCTCACCATTCCATCACATTTCCATCATTACCACCTACAGGTTGGAGGATGAACATCTTCAGTGGAGAAACCTGTGTGATCTGGGTTCTGAATTGTAGTGAGGTGCCAGCATGAGTCCAGCAGGCTTCCTGCTTCTGACATTTGCCCTCCAACACACGGAAGGGGGAAACAGGAATACAATGGAAGTTGGTGGTGATAGTGGGGAACCCAAGTATGGCCCTGCTCCCCTCCCCAATGCAATTAAACAGAATGCCTTAATTGGAAGGCTGTGTTCTCTCTCATCCCCGCCCCCAGTCATTCATGTCTTGCACCTGTTGTTGGAAAATATCATCCTAAAAGCAGCATTAGTAGTGAGTTGAAGTAGAAACCAATGTTGTTGGTTCCATTGTTGTTGTTGTACTGGGGAACCCATTCTGAGGACACCCAGTAAGGGAAACAATGTTTACACTTATTGTACCTGAGTTTTCAGTGGAGGTGCATGTCTTAGGACGCCATCATTGAAATCCTTTGCTGTGACCTGCTAAATTTGTCCATGTGCCTGAGATGGTGAAGCAGTAAAGCAATTATATGACCCACTGCACTCTGAGCAGATTTTTGGTGTGAATCAACCCAAAGCCCCATTCCTATTCAATGGGACTGACTTTCAAATGTGGATATGGCTTGAACAACAAGGTTCAAAGCACACATTGTACCAGGTATATATCATTTGTTTTGCATCTCAAGTTTCTTCTTTCCTCTCAAGTTAAAAGGTAAAGGCCAGGCAATTCTTGCCTAACTACTATTTATTATGCAGTACTTCGTATTGGCACTCTATTCTTATGATTTCTTGGCATTCTCCCCCCCCCCCCCCCGAAGCCCAATGCATCTCATTTCATATCTCGGTGGCTGCTGCAGGTTTCCTTTAATTGAAATATTATCCTTATATGACAAATAATAAGGTGCCCCTTGGGGATTTCTCAACCAAACAACAAGCTTCTAAAAACATGAAAACCCAGTGTTTGCTTTTTTTAAAAAAATCAGCAATACAACATTTCTCTCTGGAATTTTGCAAAGTGCTCTTAGGCACAGTTCTACCTGTGCACGGCAGAGATTAGTCATATAGACAAGTAGAACAGAATTGCTGAAATGGGTTATTCTCAAAGTCTGGAGGCATGGCTTCTTCAGAATTGGTTGGGAGGAGCACAGGTTGGTTCACTTTAAGTCTTATTTTCCACCCAGAAAGACTGTTGAAAAATGCTTGCATTGCAATGATCTTTGTGGCAGGGTACACTGAGCTTAGTTAGTCTGCTTGTAAGGAATATCTTCATTAGAGAAGGTGGCAAAGTTATCTGGGTGCAGACTCAGAAACAAACTCTAAGGGTTCGTAAAAGCCTTAAGGGGAGAGGCAGTATTCTTCTCAGATTAGAAGCCAAGCCAGTTAACAATTCCTTAGTCTCCATCAGCCCTCTCTGGGCTCCTCCAGAGATGAGCATTCCATCCTGATTTGCTTGCACAGATGTTATGCAGAGCTTCGATTGTTGTTTATTGAGTATTCATTCCGATTTGTTTGTGGGGAGCTTAAAGGGCAATGAGCATATATCTTGCATTTCTCCTGATTTGCTTAAGGGGTATTTATATGCCTTCCCCAATTAAAATGAACCCTCAGCAGTTACTGAGGAATATAAGAAGCTACACTCAGCTTTTTGGAAATGAAAAGAAAATAGATTAATAATCTCAATGTGGGGGGCAGCACAGTATACACTGAGGATTTTATGTCATTGGGAGTTGTGCTTTTCCAGGGATCCTGGTTGCATGGAGAAAACCCTCCATGCATACAGTTGATATGTGTGGTTACTCTTTCAGAACTTGGAATGAACACGTAGGATCATCACAAATACACACCCACACACACCATTCGCATAATGTTTTTGAACAGGGCTCATGCGTCTAACACTTTGCCTTAATATTTCCTAACTTGATTTGTGGTTTATTCTCCTCTAAATCTTTCCTAGCTAACTCCAAGGCACCTTACGTGTTCAGAGAACTAATCAGCAAGACCTCTCTTCAATGCTCCTCTTCTGTTGACCAGGAGGACGTGACATTTGCTTCTAATAAATTAACAAGGCTACAAGGTCTACATTGTAACTATTCAAAGGTCCATTCTGTTCATTTTCTGGTTGCTCCAACCTACAAGCTCCCTGTTCACCTCCAAATCCCCAACAGCCTCTTCAATTAACAGCAAATCAGTAAATAAAAGCAAACCTGCCAGGTGGAACAGGGCAAAGATTCCAACATGGACAACATTAAGCAATTATCCTCTTTGAGCGAATGGCACTCAGGCTGTGTGTGAGGGCATGCTGAGAAAACTGGTTAAAGAATTGTTTTTTTGTTGCTCTTTCTTTTCTTTTTCAAATGTCTTTAATATGAACAGAACATGAGATCTTCTTGGGCAAAATAATAATGGCTCTTGATGCAAAAGGAAACACGGCAGAGCATTATAGTATTTTCTATGTATCTGCATATTGTGAAACAAAGGGGCTACCAAAGGATATGCTGTTGTAACCAGAGCCATAACTAGGTGATCTTGCGCCCCTGGCAGAACCGTCCAGATTGTGCCGCCTAGCCACAGACAAATTAGCTCTTCTTTCTGCCTCTCCTCCAACCCCCCATTCAATTCACCCTCTATTTAAAACCATTTTATGAGGTAATAATTGATATTAATATTTATGGACACATTTTAGCCGAGTTGGTGGGGGGCATCACCTGTGCCCCTGGTGGGGGCCCACCTCACCACCCCCTAGCTACGGCCCTGGCTGTAACAGGGATGGTGATCCTTTGGTCAGATGGTGCTGGACAGCAACTCCTATCGTTCCTGGCCAAAAGGGCTAGTGTCTAGCTAGTGCAATAAAATGTATTTATCTGGCTTTTGCATTGTTTCCCTGGAGCACCAGGGATTAGACTCTGATCTTCATCTAGAGTGCAAGCAGCTCCCCTATATTGGGCCTTGTTGCCAAATGAATGGCATCGAGTCCATGACCTGGCTGACAAAAACAGCACCACTTGCTTCACTCTCCTCTGCAGAGATTTGTAAGATGACACATCGTATACACATGTGAGCCTTTCTGAAGGAACGCAAACATGTCATTTGGGGCTTCTGCAGAGAATTCCACACTAAGAAGCTGATGAAGGAATTGCCCAAGTAGCCCGACACAAGATACCTTGTTCCCTTAGAAGGCTGGGTATTCTTACAAGCACATCAAAGATTTTGTTTAACATTTGCCTAATACAAGTATCTCTAAACACCTATCATCTTTGGCATGGTTCCAGTATGAAATGTTTTTGCAAAAAGCTGGCTACTGTTTTTTCATTTTTGGTAGGATTAGTTTGTAATCATTGCCTATTGTATGGCTGTAGATCTAATTAGCTATCCTTTTGTTACATAAATTGAACCTCACCATATCATTTTCCATCTATTTGCACGCATGTACATGTGCATGTCCAAAATAATTTACTGAGGAAATATATAGCATTTATATTAACTTTACACTGCACTGTAGCTAAGGTAGCCATGTGTCCTACTTTAGACATCAGAGGACAGTCATCCATTGAATCACCAATCTCTATCAGGATTATAGCATACAGGCTCTGTAGCCAGCTGCCTTCTAGCTCAAGCTGGATGTATGACTAAATGCAGGGATAGGTAAAGTACAGCCCTCTAAATTTTCTTTGATTCCCATTGCCCTACCCATGGGCAATGGTTAAGGGCAATGTCATCTTTGTCCTAATATAATCCTTCAGAATAGTGTATAAGTCAAGAGAAGTTGACCAATATGTTGTGACTCTAGAAGATATTGTAACACCACCCAAATACTTCTTTTTCATGCTAGCAACAAAGATATTTGGATGAGGAATATGAACTCACCTTTGCTCATGCATTTCCATAACTTGAGTCTAATAAAGCCTCTCCTGAAAGCCTTCTGAAAAAGGTTTTTTGAAAAAAAAGAAAAAAAAGAAAAGACTGAAACTGTATGTGATTTTAGCCTAATTGGAATGAAATGTAAGGCCCAAATCTTGGTTCTCATCGGCATTGAGACACTTGTGTACAATCACGCTATGCAAAATAGCAGAAGCCTGAATTCATAATTGGACGTTCCAAAATGTAATTATGAAAGATGAAATGCTCCTTTCAATGAGAAGGCCGTAAATAGAATAATTAATTTTGTGTTTGCTTGAACAATTCTGTATTATGGACCTTACACTGGAACTGAAATTAATTAAGTGCACCAGGATTTATGGAGGAGGTGAAGAGAGAGAGAGAGAAAAAAGAATTAATCTGAAGTAAAAGATAGATGACTTTGTGAGTGTAATGATGCGTTAGTCTAGGGTATTCTTTAACAAATTTAGTAGGCATGTTCTGGGTACAAACAGCATTCACTGACAGAATTATCTCAACTAATGCAGCTGCTGGACTCGGAACAAATTGAGATTGCAGATGAATACTTCAGATATTAAAGTGATTATATTCTGGTGACTCTTTTTCTTTTTAAGGAAATTATCCCTAGATATATTGTATTATTTTAATTATGCTAGTATCGAAAAGAATCCAGTAAGAGAGAAAGTTCCAATCGAGGATCCATTGTACTAGGTAATAAAAATAATACTGAGATTCCATCACACTTTAGCATGACCAGGATACAGAGCCCAAGATGGGGTATGCAGATAGGGGCAGGCTTGGTTCTAGTGGTTCTAACATATGTCAGCAAAGTGAAAGATTTGCCTTCTGGGACACAGTTGGGAGGGAGCACACCCAGTCCTCATCAGTGGGGTCACCAGGATCAAATTTAGCACCTAGCCCAATAGTTTTCCCTAAAACTCACTTTGAAATTCTATTTCCATGTGACCACAACTGCACTCCACACCTGCCATGGGAGGCTTGGCCCCAAATGACAGAGATCATGCAGGAGGATGCAATTAATCTCTTTGTGGATTGTAATATCAGGGATCCTTGCAATGAACCCTCCACACGGACCCCACCTGCCATAATGATTAGCATTTTCCCAGCCGAGAATAATCACTCTTCAAATCACTCTGGCCTGAACCTTTTTCTTCAGCAGTTAATCTTGTCATTCATCACCACTCAGCACTCTTTAAATCAAGCCCTTGTTCTTGACTCCTGTCAATGATGTTGGTTCGAGGTGAGCTCAGAAGTTAGAGAAAGGGACCAAGTGAGGGAGTCATCTGAGGATTATGCAGAAGCAAAGTTGGGAAGACTGTTCAGATAAGGTCCCAGACCCAGTGGTGAACCTTGGGGCCTCCAATTTCAGCAGCACTTTGTGCGATGCCAAAATTTGGCGCCCCAGCCTTGTGCCTTCCATGCTACATAATAGTTGTGGAGCCCCCTGCGGGGACTCTGAAGTTCCATGCCCAGTGCAACCAAACTAATCGTTCTCCACTAAATCCACCACACCAGAAGATTTTAATAGTTCTTCCTGTCCCAAAGTGACCAATGACCAGCCTGAGTGAATGACACCACACCCTGAAAATACTTCACTGCCATGGAAATAATTGGAAGGGTCAGAGCTCAGTGTTAGAACATGCATGCAGAAGGTCTTGAATTCAGCAACTTCAGGTTGGGTAGGAACAGTGCTTTTTTTCATTAAAAAAAGTTTAAGGGTACTCTCATTTTCCTACTCATATTGAAATAATGCCCTTCAATGAGGCCAAACTTAGATTCACAAAATGTTTAGAAGTATGCGTATCCCGGCGTCCTCCCAGAAAAAAAGCTCTGGGTAGGAAGATTCCAGTCAGAAGCCCCAGAGAGCCACTGCCAGTTAGACAAGGCAATACTGGGAAAGATGGACCATTGGTCTAATTCAGTATTAGTCTGCTTCTTGTGTTCCTGTACTCCTTACATTCCAAGATAGTTACATCTGAGCCAGACCTCAAATCCCATCTCGCTTATCCCAGTTGACAAAGGCTCTTCCGTGATCTCGGACAACAAGGTCTCCAGGTCCCCCAGCTGACATTCTTTTGGCTGCACAGATACAGCTTAGTGGCAGAGCATCTGTTTTGCATTCACAATGTCCCAGGTTCAATCCCTGATGTCTCCAATTAAGCCTGGGAAAGACCCAAAACAATTCTTCCATTCCTTGACAACGCAGAGATGACATTTTTCCTTCGCCAGCAGTAAGGCTGTTGGAGTAATGGCTGGCTATTTTTACTCACTTTCAAGAGGCATCACAGAAACATTTTATTATCCTTGAAGGAAAAAAAGAAGGGGACAGGGAAGGGGTTGTGTCTAGTGCTGGATGGAAGGCTGTTTACCTTAAGTAACCTGAAATAACAAAGGTCCGTATAGTTAAAGCTATGGATTTCCCAGTAGTGATGTATGGAAGTGAGAGCTGGACCATAAAGAAGGCTGATCACCAAAGAATTGATGCTTTTGAATTATGGTGCTGGAGGAGACTCTTGAGAGTCCCATGGACTGCAAGAAGATCAAACCTCTCCATTCTGAAGGAAATCAGCCCTGAGTGCTCACTGGAAGGACAGATCCTGAAGCTGAGGCTCCAATACTTTGGCCACCTCATGAGAAGAGAAGACTCCCTGGAAAAGACCCTGATGTTGGGAAAGATGAAGGGCACAAGGAGAAGGGGACGACAGGGCGAGATGGTTGGACAGTGTTCTCGAACTACCAACATGAGTTTGACCAAACTGCGGGAGGCAGTGGAAGACAGGAGTACCTGGCATGCTCTGGTCCATGGGGTCACGAAGAGTTGGACATGACTAAATGACTAACAACAACAACAACCTGAAACAGCCTGTAAAAATCAGAGTAAAGTGTGGGGCAGCCAAAACTGTGCCCTCCAGATGTTGCTGCACTGCAGCACCAATCAGCTCCAGCCAGTGTGGTCAATGGTCAGTCATGTAAGTTGTATCCTCCGTATCTGGATGGCACCATGTTAGATGCAACTGCCCATTTATAAGGAGCCACTTGAAATATTAATCATAGTTCAGTGGCAGAGCATCTGTTCTGCCCACAGAAGGTCTCAGGTCCAGCCCTTAGCATCTTCAGGTAGGGCTAGGAAACATTGGAAAGCCATTGTCAGTAATGAGAGCCATTGTCAGTAATGGTTAAGAGCGGTAGACTCATAATCTGGTGAACTGGGTTCACTTCCCCGCTCCACCACATGCAGCTGCTGGGTGACCTTGGGCTAGTCACACTTCTCTGAAGTATCTCAGCCTCACTTACCTCACAAAGCGTTTTGTTGTCGGGGAGGAAGGGAAAGGAGAATGTTAGCCGCTTTGAGACTCCTTAAGGGGAGTGAAAGGCAGGATATGAAGTCCAAACTCTTCTTCTTCTTCTTCTTCTTCTTCTTCTTCTTCTTCTTCTTCTTCTTCTTCAACCAGTGGTCTGGCTCAAAAGCAGCTTATTATGCAACTCTATCTAGGGCTATCTGTATGCAATGAATATGCCCTACCATTTATCTACCATATACCCTTCCCAGCCTAGTGCAGGTGGAACTTTTGTAAACGGGTTCAGCTTTTGCAGCCATGCATGTGCATCCACACACATGAACAGGTGTCGCTTTTGCTTCCGGAATGCATGGGTGTCATCTAAAACTGTGCTTGCAGCAGGTTTTTCTATGCAGCATGTATTGCTATTGAAATTTCCTTTTGTTTAGCCAAACAAAATGCTAAATATGGCATGAACTATAGCCAGCTTCCAATTTTCAACAGGAGTTCCACTTTCCACTTGCTGGGTTATAGCTGTTTAAGTGACACATTATATTGTTTGCAAGGATTCTTCAATTGCTCTTTTGCTTCATTTAGCCTGTAGTACCATTCAGCCAAATTGATCTATAAAAGGTGTACTTAAAATCAGAATTATCCTGGGATTCACAAGTGTTGGGTGCTAGAAAGCAGCCCTTCATTTCCCATGGCCCTCCAAACATTTGCAAACACATTTCTACCTCCTGCATTGCAGCAGACTGAATCAGGAGGACAGGCTTGCAACATCTGTTCATTCCACTCACTTCTGAAGTCCTCTCAGTCTCTTAAGACACTTGATTCAGGCTGTCAAAACGCATACTTCTCTATGGTGTGTATGATTTGGACATTTAGACATCTGTCATCAGGAGGTGTGACGGATGGTTTCATTAACACAAAAAGTCAAAGAGTGTGACAGAGAAAGTATTTTCTAAGCCATACCAAAAAAAAAATTCTCATACTTCCTGTCCTCTATTGTAGAAGAGGCTGAACATTCTGCAATATGGCCTGCGTCATAATGCATTTTTATAAATCTGAAATACAGTAACATTTGAAATACTGTGTGAAGTCCCATCTCAGGATGGCTTTTGCACAGCTGGAGAGGGTGCAGGAGCAGGAAACTGGATATATTTATTTATTTAGAAAAGTTCTTAATTGCTTTGTATTCAGAAGAATCTCAAAGCGATGTACAGAACACAGGGGGAAGAAAAACAGTGGAACAGAATGTTGGAACATTGTACAATGTAGAGGTCTAATACCATACAAAAGAATATCAAAACCATGTACAAGTTAGAGATCAAATACAGTACGAAAACAAATAAATATACAATATGGAAATAGAGTATAAAGGAATCTCAAAACAATATAAGAAGTATAGGTTAAAGTGCAATACAAAAGAAATCAAAACGATCTATCAAACAGAATTCACACACAAAGAGGAGGCTGGGCCTTTGGGAACTTTTTAATGTAGAGGGAGGAAATGAACATATTCTAAGCCCTCTGCAGGCATCTGATTACCATAAGAAGATAAGAGGCCTGCTAAATCAGGCCAAAGACCCATCCAGTCCTACCTCTTGTTCCCATAGTGACCAACTAGATGCCCAAGGGATGCTGCAAGGAGGACCTGAGTGCAAGAGGACCCTCTGCCTTTGTGATTCCCAGAAAGGTAGGAGGGAAGTGCTTTTCACCCAACCAACAGTTAACTTATGGGTTCAATGCCACAATATGTCACACACTCTGATGGCTTGAAAAGGGGTTTAGAGAAAGGCTTGGGTCTATCAGTGGCTACTAGACATGATAGCTAAATGTAACCCTAGGTCTAAAGCATTATGCCTCTTGAGTATCAGCTGCTGGAGGGGATGGGCAACATCAGGAAAGGTCTAGAAAACTGCCTTATACTAAGTCAGGCCATCTAGCTCAGTACTGACTACATTTACTGGCAGAGGCACCCTAGGGTTTCAGAAAAGGAGAATTTCCCAGCCTTGTCTGGAGATGCCAGGGACCAACCTGGAACCTTCTCCATGCAAAGCTTGTGCTATCACTGAGCTATGGATATTGCCTATACGGCCAGCTTGTGGGTTTCCTGGAAGCATCTGGTTGGGTACAGATTGAAACAGAATGCTGGACTAGATGGAGCCTTGGTCTGATCCAGCATTATGTTCTCATGTTACCCATTCGCTACGGAGCAATTGCACATTAGCTACATCCATGCTTTTCTCTTTTGCAGACTTTAGTGCACAGACACACCCCAGGAGCCACAAAGAACCGTTTTCATGATACATTGACCACCAAAAGGAAACGAGCTATGGGTGCTGGTATTCATTTCAGAGTAAGCTTTTGCTGGGAAACAACCCATATATTTTCCAAACTTATGCATAAGAGAGTTGAATATTTTTTTAAAAATGCATGTCCTGCCTTTCAATGTAATATTATTCCAATGCTGCTTACATGTTAAAATTCAAAGGTGTAGTATTACTTTAAAAATGCCAAGCTCCTCTGCAAAGCATGTTGTAATACAGACCAGTACCTTCACAGTACCACCAATTTATGGAGAATAAGTGAAGAAGAAGAAAACAACTTTAAAAGCTAATTGGAGAATAGGGCGTGTACAGTTTTAGATAAATTTGCATGCTAAAAAGATCCCCTGCAAACTTCTACTATCACTCTCATACAGGGGTAGCCAACATGGTGCTGTCCAGAGGTTGATTGATTGACTACAACTCTCATAATCATCAACTATTATTATTATTATTATTATTATTATTATTATTAAAATTTGTATGCTGCCCTTCATCCTAGCGAAGACAAAAGCAAAAGCAACACTTCTGAGAAACGTACAATTATATTTTTCAAAGAAACACTCTGCTCATGGCAGCATAACACATAAACATCCGTAATTTCAGAATAATCCACCAGAGTGATAGATATTGTACTTTTGCAGTTGATTGGAAGAGAGCAGCCCTTCCAAAGCCCACGGTATCACTTCATTAAATAAATTACCCATGTTAATCAGTTAACTCTATGAGGTGAGGCATGGCTTGAATCTCATTCACATCGCTATTAAAAAAAAATCCAGTCTATGGGAACCAAAATTTAATATGGCAGCTTAAATCTCAGGGGCTGAAGCTTTAGTCTTGTAATAATTTCTTTAAATGAAAAAAAAAATGTGTCTGATTAAGACATCTTTTAAAAAACATTAATTTGCAAGCATAAAATGTTGAAATGACTTACATAGATTTTCTCTGATAATTTAGCATCGCATTTAAGATAATGGATAGGGAGAAGGATGGATTGTATTGGGGGTGGGGGTGGGAGGGCAAGTCTGATGAAATTGCAAACTGGGAGACTAGAGCCCCAATGCTCTGTGATATCACCAAGGGCCCTAGATTAATTCATGGAACAATCTATCTTTGGGCATTCATTATTTTAACAGCTTGCACTTGGGCACCATTACACATCATGTTTAACCAAGCTTGGTCGATGTTTATGTTCGTGTAGGGCCCAATCCTGCACCTGCTCCTACGCTGTACTATGAAGTCAGGGAACAAATTCCATCCATAAGAACATAAGAAGAGCCTGCTGGATCAGGACGATGACCTATCTAAATCCAGCATCCTGTTGTCACAGTGGCCAACCAAATACCCTTAGGGAATCCACAAGCAGGATTTCAGCTGAAAAAGCACTCTCCCCTCCTGTGGTTTCCATCAACTGGTATTCAGAAGCATTAGTGCAGGGGTCAGCAAACTTTTTCAGCAGGGGGCCGCTCCACTGTCCCTCAGACCTTGTGGGGCACCGGACTATTTTTTGGGGGGGGGGATGAACGAATTCCTATGCCCCACAAATA